TAGCCCCGGCGAAATCGCCAGTTTTGGGGAGTGTTTTGAGGCTTCCCAAGCCTCAAAACACTCCCAGAAGCTGTCGATTTTACACCCCCTGGCCCCGTGGGGGTGGGGAGAGCATTGCAAGGGTCCAAGGGAGCCTTCCAGGACCCCTCCCACACTCCTCCCACCCCCGCACGGGGCCAGTGCCGGCGAAATCGCCAGCTTCTGGGACTCTTCTTAAGCTTCCCAAGCCTCAAAAGAATCCCAGAAGGTGGCGATTTCGTCCCCTCTGACCCCCGGGGGGGGGGCAGGGTGAGGCTCCAAAGGGTCCTAGGGTGTGTTCCAAAAGATGGACCTCTCCATAATGCTCACCAATTTTTAGGAGAAGAAAACAATTATTTTTTCCTGTTTTCTTCTCCCAAAAATTTGGTGCGTCTTATGGAGAGGTGCGGCTTATGGAGTGAAAAATACGGGGTATAGCTTGAGGTATATTTATTTATTCAGCACTTAACATGAGGTATAGCTGTATACTGGCTTACACAATTATAAGACGTCCCTTCTCCTATTATGTGTCACCTTCTCATGAGCATGAAAAAATCCTGGGAATCTAGGTACAAGGACAGAAAGGGCCAGAATATGTATCTGTGGGCTTCCGGGTGGGAAAGGCCCTCAGAGTACAAAGGAAAGTCTCCCTACACCCCACCAATCACCATTCTCACAAAGGGCAGGCCATGCTAGCAGGAAAAGGTACAGTAATTATTTTGTTCTTTTTACACCTTCTCATGAGCATGAAAAAATCCTGGGAATCTAGGTACAAGGACAGAAAGGGCCAGAATATGTATCTGTGGGCTTCCGGGTGGGAAAGGCCCTCAGAGTACAAAGGAAAGTCTCCCTACACCCCACCAATCACCATTCTCACAAAGGGCAGGCCATGCTAGCAGGAAAAGGTACAGTAATTATTTTGTTCTTTTTACTTTACTGACGTTCTAGGAACTACTTGCTGTAACTATTGAGCTTCACTTAATAGGTAGGTAGGTTTGTTGGTTTTCTTTAAAATAATCAATAAGCCGTGTCTTTTTATGATTTCATTATTATTAATTAATTCTGTATTTTTATTGCAAGCCACTTTAAGTTTTTTTCATAGGAAAGCCATATGCAAATAATAAAGTAAACAATGGTTTCCCCTCTAATACAGCAAAATAGGAGACATTACAATGTAGGTAATACCTGAGTGATGTGTTAAATTAATTTGGGTAAATCTGAGACCAGTGCTTCACAACTTCACCAAAGCTTAGTCATCTATGAAGATGGGAGGTACTGATATGAATAAAGGTCTATGAAAAAAGACTCTCACAGGAGGTTTTTATCATCTATGAAGATGGGAGGTATTGATAAAGGTCTATGAAAAAAGACTCTCACAGGAGGTTTTTAATATTTCCATTCTTCTCCCAGGCTTTTGCACATCTCTAGTGATGGTTGGAAAACTTCCACTTTTAGAGGGGACAGAAGCTGATATGGGGGTGTTGAACAGATAGTCAGACACAGCCGGTCAGTCAGTCCTTTCAGGGTGTGGGTGTGTTTCTAATACTTATATAATGTCTAAAGATTGTCCCCCTCCCCCCAAGTGTCCTTTCTCTTTGCAACACAAAAGCTGTCATCATTTTCAAAGTGCAGCTAGGTGGGAGCAGAACTGCCAGGCTTACTTTGTAAGTGCTTTAAATCAGGGGTCCCCAACCTCCGGTGCGTGGCGGTCCGTGGCCCAGTACAGGACTGGGCCATGGAGACAGATCTGGCCCCCATGCATACACTCCCTCCCATGCTCTCTCACACACAGCCTGCCCACCTGCACGGGTGCCCCTGTGTGCCCTGCCCACCCACAAACACCCCCGTGCATGTGTGAGTGTGCACCCCACTCCCCAGCGCATGGATCCCCCCAACTGGTCCATGGTTCAGAAAAGGACATGGATCCCCCCCCCAAATGGTCCATGGTTCAGAAAAGGTTGGGATCACTGCTTTAAATGGCTCCCCAGAACGTCTGTCTTTGATCTTCATAATTTATTTATTTATTTTATTAGATTTATGCCCTGCCCATCTAGACAGATAGTCTACTCTGGGTGGCAGAGGAATAAATAAATAAAGGAATATATTCCTTTAGCTTGCTGCCTAAAATTTCCCTGGCCAGCACATCTGGCCCAACCCTTAATAATGAAAGAAGGTTCATGAGAGAAAATCCTACCAACCCATTTTCTGACAGTAATGCAACCAACTCCCAGCCTGATTCTCCATGCACTGAAGCAAGTGAAATTATCAGTGTCTGACGTTCCTGCTAAGTTCTCTGAAGAATATTCTCAAGCTCATTATTTGTTAACAGTGCCCATCTCTGTACCAATGATCTTACTGTGCACTGATCCATGTGGAAGAACATGATGTGTGTCTTTTTTTAAGCAAGAGAGAGTCACTTACTTTGCCAATGTTTGTGTTATCTAAAGCTGCATCTACTTCATCCAAAACGAAAAAAGGGGCAGGCCTGAAACTAAACACAATTAAAATGATTTGTCAGCTACGAGTCTTGTTCCCTTAAGAATATCTTCATGCATTCCCACATAGACAGGTGACTATACTTTTGTGGATTTTTTCAAGAGGGTAGATGTGCTGGTCTTGTTGCGGCAAAACAACAAAGTCTTGTACATCCTAAAAGATTGACAAGTTTCATCTGGCACAAACTTTCACAGGCTGTTGCCCACTCCATCAGATTATTAGAGATGAAGTGGCTTGCACATCCATAAAGTCCTATGCCAACAAAAACCTGTTAGTCCTTAACATGCTGTAAGACTCTTCACTGTCAGTACTTGACATAATTTAATGTATATGTTGTTGTCATGTTCATTGTATTTTTCCAGTTTGTTATATCAATTTTTTAAACCTGAAATGTGCAGATGGTAGAGCACACAGATCAAAAGTTAACTACTCCTGCTTTTGTACATATGCTAGTTTTCACTGTAATCTATCTCTAGCACAGGGAAAAATGCCCATATTTAAGCTGTAAACTGAAGAAACCATCAGGAATAATATTATTTGTATTCCTCTCTCTCTCTCTCTCTCTCTGTTTAAGCTGTAAACTGAAGAAACCATCAAGAATAAGATTAATTATTTGTATTCCTTGTGTATGTATGTATGTATGTATGTATCTGTGTGTGTGTGGTGAAGACCAATTCAGATGATAAGGGTTTTTTTTACCACATTTTGAGATGAAGAAAGATGATTTTAAGTTTAAAAGAGGCAGCCCTGGCTCTTATATAACAAAGAAGGAATCAGTCCATTTGAAGAAGTGACTCACATGACCAGTCATGTTCATTAGTCACTGACTTGTTCTTTTCTTGAAGAGAATTGGTCTTAGAATAAATTGCACATATACATATACCTGTGTAGTCCCCTATGAATTTCCCCATGCAATGTTTCTAAATAAATAGAGTCAGGTTAAATAACATTTGAGTTTCTGAATGATCTACCGTTTTGAACTACAAGTGAGCTGTAGTGGTAGCACCACATTTCTCAAAAAATTAGTAACTGCCGTTTCACATCAGGAACTGAAGTAGCAAGTCACTAAAATAAGGCTGCATGGAATAAGAATGAGTTATTTACCATAACCATGGTTCTTTGAGTGGATCTCTGTGACTTTGCACCAATGGGTATACCGTTGAGCATGCACAAATTCTCAGAACATTCTAGAGCTTAGAACACAAAGATTATTAGAGGACCCACACTCCCACCTTGCTACTTGGCGCCTCTAACGGTCCTCCTTCAGTTCCCCTATCTGCCGCTTAAGTAGAGTGTGACAAGAGGGAGGGAGGGGGGACATGTGAATTCACGGAGATACACTTGAAGAATCAGAGTTGCGGTAAGTAACCCATTCTTCTTCATGGTCTCCATGATTGCACACCAATGGGTGAGTAGCAAGAAAGAGTTGTCACAAGAAAGCAGAAGCTAGGGCAGTTCCACCCACTGTGGCTCTTGACCTCTCCCTCATGTCAATGTGGCAGTGAGTGTTGAAGGTGGAAGTCTGTGCCCACACAGCAGCACAGCAGATGCTACTGAGGGAAACAACCCTCAGGAAAGCCATAGAGGAGGAGACCGTTCTTGTAGTGTGTGCTTTTACAGTAGATGAGTGAAGGTGCCCTGCAAGATCATAAGAGAGGATGATAGTGTCCACAAGCCATCTGGCCAACCGTTGTTAAGAGATGGGGTACTGGCTGCCCCATCTTTGTAGGTGACAAAGAATCTTGTCATTCTACAAATATACTGTGTCCTGGAAGTGTAAAAGGCGAGGGCATGCCGTACATCCAGGGTGTGGAGAGCCCTCTTGACTAGGGAGGAAGGTGACGGGTAGAAAAAATGATGCATTGTGGGAGATGAAAACAGGAGTGAACCTTCAGAAGAATAAGCTACCACTTTGTCCTTGAAGAACTGAAGAAGGTCATGGCAAAGTGTGGCCAGTTTGATGGCCCAACATGCAGATGGAATGGCCACGAGAAAGAATGTCTTCAAGTTAAGGAATCGCAAGTGAGTAGTGGTCAAGGGTTCAAACAGAGGTCCCATCAAATATCAGAGGACCAGTGGGAGGGACCACTGAGGTAGGGGGGGACTGTATGTTCAGAAACAAGTTATGAAGGCCCTTAAGGAACCTTTTGAGAATCAGGTCCTGGAACAGTAGCGGGTGGTTGTTTGGTCAGGAAGTTCACTCCTGCGTCAAAGATCTTGTAGAAACTTTCCACCCGTCTGGAAGTGGATGGAGCTGAGGACAGCTTATCCCAGATATCCTTGGCGACATTGGCTAAACAGCGCATAATCATGAGCTGGACTGGTGTAGAGGGATCCTTGTCAATTTCATCATAATGGAAGTCACTGTGTTGTGGAAGAGGCTTCTGGGCCTGGAGCTCTAATGAATGGGCCAAGTGAAGGATGAGATCAGAATAAGACTGCAGAGACGGGGAAGGCGGATGAGTGTTTGCAACGTCTGATTCCAATGTGGTAATCTGCACCAAACGGGTGCCCTCCGACAAAATCAACAGAGTCAGGGGAGCCTTCGGAGTCAAGAGGCTGGTCCTGATGTTGAGCATGAGGCAGCAACTGGGAGGGCTGCAGGGCAGTAAAAGTTGCTGTTGCGACTGAGTGGTTGGATTCAATTAGTCAAGATGGGTGAGGCGCACAGGCATTCCTAGTTGGAGCTGAGTGTAGATACTGGTATGGGGCATTGGAGCTGAGGGGGCGGTGGGGTATCAGGTGTGACTACTGATGTTCAGACATCTTAGGCTTTGGAACAAGAGCAGCATCAAATCCATGGTGGTGTCTCTTAGAGAGAGGCCTCGGGAAGCCTGGCACAAGGGGTCCGGAGCGGGCCGGGCCTGGTCTCAAGATGAGAGGGTGGCACATTTACTATGTATGAGGAATCTATTTAGTCATTATTGGTATAAAATAAGAAATTGGTCGGTCAAATTGTCTTAAAATTATATAGATTTGAAATTAGAATTGCTTTTATTAGTTATTTTATTAAAGAATTTGGAGAACATCGTATATTATGAGAGCAATACTATGATAGTAGCCAATATTGGACAATAAAATACACATAATAGGATTGGTTCAAATGCTTAAAAATGTATAGATTTTGAAGTGACAACTAAGAAGGCACTAAGATGGAAAACCAAATAATTATAAGCAACTCATGTAATAGGATGTTGAACAAGCGCAAACTGAATGTACAGTGAAAAATTAATAAAATTTAAATTGTGGGAAACAGTCACTGATGAGTGTCGGTACTGATGCAAGACGTCTGGATTCTCGGGATGGTCAGAGTAGTAGTGGTCTCAAGGTATGCTCTGGTGTCAATGCTGAACAACTGACCTCAAGTCAGAGGTGCAGCACCGCCTGGGGAGGCCCAATGCATCCATTGACAGGCATTGGTGTACTCTCCCAGATAATGCATGTGGTAGTAAGTGTTGGTGACTATTGGTTCCAACCACTCCTGATCTCTGTTGTAGTCCACCAGATTGTACTATCCATTGGTGGGTGGGTGTGGGACAATGGGATGCTGATCTTGATGGTATAGCAGAAAGATGAGACTTTAGCTGTGGCACAAAAGAATCATGTTTTGTGGAGCAGCATTAGGAGACAAGGTACAACACCTTGGCCTGGTGGAATGTCATGCACCCAAGCAGGAGATTGGCTGAAGGCAGGTGACGGTGAGCAGTCCTGAAACTCGAAGAGCCTCAATATCTGACTGGGAGGGCAGTGATATAACATTGGAGGCAATTGGAGCCGGGTTTGGCTGCAGGGGCTGGTGATCCTTGAGAGGTCTCTTAGGGCAGTGGTCACCAACCTTGGTCCTCCAGATGTTCTTGGACTACAACTCCTAGAAGCCTTCACCACCACCTCTGCTGGCCAGGATTTCTGGGAGTTGAAGTCCAAGAACATCTGGAGGCCCAGGGTTGGGAACCACTGTCTTAGGGGACAGATCAGTTTCAGGTGCTGATTTCTTCCTCTTTTTTTAAGACTTTGATTTCGAAGCAGAGTCTTTCAGAACCAAGGCCTTCAGTTTTGACGATTTCAAGCCCGAGGATTTAGATGTCGATGGCTGGGCCTTGAAGGGTGAAGATTCTGTGGTCGCATGATGTTTTGTCAGGCACAATAACCAAGGATGAATCTCTTGGAGGTTCCATGGGGGGGGCAGCTTGAAGATGAAAAAGGTGGTCCAATCGATGACAAAGGGCAGCTTTTGTGAAACCCTTGCAATGGTAACACGGCTGAGGTTTGTTTTTTCCCCAGGCAGAAAAGGCAGAGGGAATGTCTCTTTGAGGGAGGGAGCTTGTTGACACAGGCATGGCACTTCTTCAAAGGGCCCTTAGAGGCCATAAAGGGCCAGGAGAGAAAGTGTCAGGGAGGGAAGGGGGAAGGGTGGTGGTGGTTTGCAGTAGATGTTTTGGAGAAACCACAGACCACTAAAAGGAATTTTCCCGTAGGAGAAGCAACTCACTGAAAGGAAGTTGACAACAACGTAGAAAAGTGAAGTACAAAAGGATTACCCAAAGGCAGTAAGCTACAGAACATTCCTTAGATGTGTCCAAAGTAGTGGCAAAAAAGGAACTGAGGGAGGACCATTAGAGGTGCCAAGTAGTAATGTGGGAGGGCGGGGCCTCTAACCATCTCTTTCTGGTCTAAGCTCTAGAATGTTCCGATATCCATTGGTGTGCATTCTCAGAGACCACAAAGAAGGAGATGCAGTGGTTTTTCCTTAGAAGCACAATCACTGTTCCTGAGAAGTCTGAATGGTCCTTTGACAAATCCCACTTGCACAGGCACATGTGTCACTGCTTTCTATGTGAAATAAACTACCACAATTAGGTGGCAATTTAACATACTGATGTCTCCATTTCCTGAAGAAATCGAGGCAATGAAGCATGGCAATCACTGTCTTCTTGTTTTAATGCTTTTATCTTTTTTTTTGTTCTTTCTTACATTTGTTGTAACTGCCCAGAGTAGTGCCTCAGCACTAATTGGAGCAGGATATAAATTGAAAAAATAAATAAATATTAAATTCTTGGCTAGCATGCAAGGAATCCAGATCTATGGAAGAGTCTTCACATAGGATCATTAAACATGATCCTCCTGGATGAGGGAGACAGGTATCACGATGTATTCGTGTTCTTAAACAGTTATTTATGAATAATATGTGTGTAGGATGTATTCAGCTGGCTGGATACTTTAGTAGATTAGGTATCTGACTGCAGAGCCAGAGGTTGAGCATTGGATTCTCCACTACACCTACTGTGAGCAGAGTCAGCCTGTGACAGTCCCAGGGCATCCCCAGACGCAGGGAATGCAAAACCACTCCTGAGCACTCGCCACCTGGTAAACCCTGGAAAAGGTCACAATAAGTCAGAATTTAACGATCTGATTATTATTAGGATGCATCTTGTTAACACCTATAGGTTTGTGCGAACATTGTCAATACAATGCTGTGATTGTTCTGTGGGCATGTAATGATTAAGAAATGAACAACGTTAAGAAAGAAGTCACCTAACATTTCATTTTTTTCCCCAGAAACCGTTGAGAGCACAATGTCTCTAAAAAAATAATTCGTATTACCTGTGTATTGCAAACACAAGAGCCAAAGCTGCTACAGATTTTTCACCCCCCGACAGGTTGTCCATTGGCATAAATCGTTTCCCCGGCGCTACACAGTTATAGCTGATCCCTTCCAAGTAAGGCTCCTCGGGATTCTCAGGACTTAGAAAAGCCTGAAACACATAAGGCCTTTGGTTCAGTTCATAATGAAACAAATGAACAACATTCATGAGACTTTAAGTGTTAATTAGTAATAAAATGTAGTCGTTCTCATAAATGCAAAATGCAAGTTATACTTCACAAACAAAAGCCAATATTGATGCTTGATCTCCTTCCCCATCTCTCCCACACAGCCTGCTGACAGATTAACTCTTGTGGAATCATTAAAAATCCCATCTTCTATAGCAGACAATTCTTTTTCAGAAGGGAAAAAAAATTGCTGTTTGTGTGGAATTTGGATTGATATTCCTTATAGGGCATTAAAATATCAAATCCATTTGGGTATCGTTAAATGCATCATCCCTCTTCTGGGAAGACAAATAAGTTATTGTTTCATTTATGATGTAGCAATAACTCTTACCATTTCTAAGTGGAAAAAGTGAACCAGCCAAGCTGATGTTATTTTATGTTTTTATTTATCTATATTACATCTATGTTCCATCATTCAAAAAAAATCTAAATTTGTAATGGTAAGAAGTTAGTGGCATAATGCTTCAGTCATACGTCAAAAACTTGTAACCATAAATCACAGACAAAAATATTTCCATCATACAAAAAAAATCAAAAATGTGTAACTCTAAAAAGGTACAGGCAAAAACGCTTCAGTCATATTTCAGAATGCAAAGGTACATCTTTCAAAGAGAGTACATTTCTAAAACTATCAGAGCTTTAAGCAATTTATCTTTAAGTATATTGAACTTTAGCATATTTATAATATTATAATAGCATATTATAATACTAGGTTCTCATACCCAGCCATATGTTTCAGCATTAAAGCTAGGAAGGTAATAACAAGGAGTCAGGCTTTCTCAGTAACTTTGTGGAACCAATTGCCAGCGGCCGCGTGCCCGGCTCTGTCCCTCCCAATATTCCAAAAATTCTTCAATACATAATTATTTAAAATAGACTTCAAGAACATCATACCTTCAAATGATGTTAATTTTAACATTTGAACTTTAGTTTTCTATAGATTACTGCACTTGAGTTGATTATAGTGCCATTTTGGTTATGTTAAAGTGGGTGGTGGTTGTGGGGCTTTGCTTGTTTGTATACAACCCAAAGTAGTGTGAATTCACTAACTGGGCAGTATATGAAACAAACAAACAAAACAAACAAACAAGCATACATACACGCACACAAAATTCCTGTTAGGCTCTCTTACACAGCCATATGTTCCAGCATTAAATTAATGGATAGATGCCAAGTTCTCTTTCTCTTTGCTCCTTTTGCTTGTTAAAACTGTTTCATGTGCTGCTTTTATACTTTCCTTCCTTGTTTACATTAAAGCAAAGCGTGCTGCTTATAATGCTTCAAGCACTCTCTGGGCGGTTTACAAGTTAATTATGCAGGCTACACATTGCCCCCCCCCC